TGCAGATTATGGGGATTTATCAACAGCACTAATAAATTTGGCTCTCCAGCTACTGGACTCAAATGGACAGTGTTGTTACTACTTCAGTATTGGTTAAGATTAGATGAGGTGTGAGTTTTAGGCATGTCTGTCAATAATTATAAACAGGGTCAAAATTCACACTGAATTTAGGCTGGTTTCTTTCTACCCAAATAGGATTAAAAAGTCCATGCTCAACAGGTGTCTACCTACCGCTACAATGTATCATTACAAAGCCTTGTGGGTTCTTACCAACACCTCGCTCATGGGCAGCAAGCAGGCTGGTAGGATGTATGTTTGCATGCTATGGAGCATGGTAAATACTCAGTACAAGTTATCTGCTATCATCATTTCCTGGAACATTATCTTAGTTTGTAATTTTCTTTTTTGTTTTTTTGTCAGTTGAACTTGGGGCCTGGGCGCTGACCCTGAGCTCTTCAGCTCAAGGCGAGCACTCTGCCACTTAAGCCACAGCACCACTTCCGGTTTTCTAGTGGTTAAATGGAGATAAGAGTCTCACAGACTTTCTTGTCCTGGCTGGCTTTGAACTGTGATCCTCAGATCTCAGCCTCCAGAGTAGCTAGGATTACAGGCATGAGCCATCGGTGCCTGGCTTTATATATATATATATATATATATATATATATATATATATATTTTAAACCCTAATTCATAAAGGGACTCACTTGTTTTGGTCTTTCATGTACAAGTTCCATTATAAACCTATGGGGGGAAAAATGGGGTCCCAATAAAGAAATGAAATGAAGTATTAACAGGCTTTTAGACTCATTTTTAATGATGATGTATATAAATGCATATATACTATATATATGCACACATATATATATATGTATACTTATACATATATATTGCAAAGGGTAGGCTCTCTTGAAATGTCCATGTTTATTGGCATAATATTTTATTTTTCTTTAATAAGAAAAGCTTTCTGAAATCTACTGAAGGTAAACAAATGGCAAAACTGATGTATGTAAGCCTTTTGCTGTTAACTAAACACAGAGAACAAGGTGCAGTCAAATTTATGCAGAATAGCTTTGGTTTTCCCACATTCAGAGCCAGTTCTTCTAAACAGGTTGTGGTCTTCTAGCTAATTGATCATTACTACAAATCCAAGAAATAGAGCATTCATACTTCATAGATAAACCCGATGAATAAGAACAATATCAGAACAGAAAAAAATACCAACAAACTGTGAAATTTCATATATTTTTGTTTATAAAACTATGCATCACTTCTAATTGGGAAATACTTTTTGTAGAGTATCTGTTTAAGCTATCCAGCTACATGTGGCTATTTAAGATTTTTGCAAGTAGGAATAGGTTGGAGGAAATTTGTAAAAATTAATATATGTATATATTTAAATCAAAAGAAACATACATTCATTTCTAACTCACATAGCCTACTTGTCTTATAGTCTACTGAGAAACAATGATAGGAAGACACTACATATAAAATTAAATAACAAATGAAGCGCTTTTGTAATAAAGGAGTTGCAAAAAATTAAATAACATGGAAAAATAAATATGCTTTATTATATAAACATAGAAATCTGTTTTGCTCAAAATATTTTCAGAAAATACTAGGCGTGGCTGCTTAAAATGCTGTTCAGAAAACACGGTAGTAATAGTTACAATCTTTATTTTTGTTTCTAGTGAGGTTGTAGATCTAGTGAGGTTGTCAGACAACATTTTTCTCTTCCTACCTATGGAAGCTGCAAACTTTCATATGGAAATGAGGTAGACACAAATTCAGAAGTTGGTGAGGCGGAAACAGCAGCACTGTTCCTTTATGAGCTCGTAAATTCTCATTACTCAGGTCGACAAGCATCATTCTCATGCAAGGCTCAGAGAACACATTTAGATTTCTTTCTCACACTCACACAAAAACCCCACGAAAGGAATTTCCCTTGAAGAGAACCACAGTCTCCAAGGTGATATTCAAGCAGAGATACAAGCCCATACACAAACAGGTGTGACAGACCTGCCTGTCTTTGTTAACTCTGATTACCTAGATGAATTAGCTTACGGTAGAACACTCCCAATTTTTAATCTACTTTCCACTTGGACTTGACTATATAGTGGTCTTTCCTATGTGCTTTCCTCGTGGTGGAACAAGTGTACTCATGATGCAGTGGGAGGTCCACTTCAAGGTGCAAAAGCTAGAGTCTTGTTTCAAAAACCGTCTTACCCAGAAAGTATCCAAGGACATATTTTTAAAGGGACAAAAAAGCTAACTATTTGGAAGATTATTTTTTCCCTTCACATTTCATGATCTTGATTCTTCAATTTATAATGATGTGAGCCAGAACCCCCTGGTCTATCTCCAATAGGTACTTGAACTCCAAGTTCACAGAAGCTTTGTTTAGTGACTGGAAGCTGTGTGAACTGAGATTTGGGGTCTCTATCCTAAATACTGCATTTCAGTAACAAGTGCTGAGGTAGGCTAGCTCCATTCTGACCCTGAAGAAGGCTTCCTTTGACCTTGGAGAGGCCTGCTGTTCAGAAACAAGTGCTGAAGTAGGCCAGCTCTACTTTGACCTTGGAGAAGGCTTCCTCTGACCTTGGAGGAGGCTGCCTTGTCTTGACAGGACAGCTGCTATGTGTGGGAGCCCTTGGGGAGACAAGCAGCCTGCAGGAGGAGTAATTGTGACCCCAGGCTTCTAATCAGTCTAAGCTGCTGTCTGTTGAAAGCAATACATTAGCACCTCAACTGTACTCTTCACTGTTGTTAATTTCATGGACATTACAATGATAAAGCACCACCGAAGTGACTTATGGCTATGAACAGAATTCACTGAGGTATGCTTCAATTTAGAATCACATTGTACCAAAGCATCCATGGAAATAAACATGAAATTAACATCAAAATCCTACAGGAAGGATCTGAAAGACTGCCCTATCACACATGTATTTAGGAAAAGTAATATACTACAAATGTATCTACTTAAACACATCACTTTTTGATTTAATTATTTTTTAAATCACAATTTAAAAGCCTTGCAGAAGAGGCCTTTAAACAGGTATTGAAATAATGATCACTATACAAAGGAATAACTGAACTCACATAAAGGCAGCAAAATTATTTCTTAAACCCATGCACTTGCTGCAGTGGAATTCACAGAATTGGATTTTTCACTCTCTCCCTCTCTCTCCTCTCTCATGTTCCAGAAAACAGTATGCAGGGGTCTAGAATAATAACACTAGATAAACTCTACAGCTTCAGTTAAAATAATTAATAGTGCCTATCTTAAAATTTAAGCAGTTAAACTCTTAAAATATCTGTAGGGGGTAGTAGTAATCCTGTATAAAAAATATGGAGATGTTGAAGAGAGACTACATAAAACTGAAAGAGAAACATGTATACATGTAATATATATATATATATATATATATATATATACATACAAAGATGTACGGATATGCATATACACATCTTTGCATGAATATATATGTGCAAATATACACATATCCCTAGCACTATATTTTACCATTCTTTGGGACTATATATATTTTTAATTTTTATTTATTTATTTTTTACTTTCCTAAGCAATTCTTCCTAGAGAGAGAAATACGGGATGATCTAAGTAACCAGAATCTGGAGAGAGGAAATATTTATTTCTTCTTCTCACCAAACCACAGCAAAATCAAAATCAGTGCCACCATTTTTGAGAGCACTAGGTAGATTTTCGAAACATAATGCTGGGGTTGGTGTTACTATTGATTGAAAGAATGAGGTAAAAATATCTTGGGCTCAGGAAGGACATCTTCATGAAAAATAGTATGAAGGACGTGACTGAAAGAAGCGGGAATTTCAGGGGAAGGGATGTTATATCTCTGGCTTCCTGCCAAGCTCTCCTTAGGAGAAGTTACCATTGGTATACACAAAGAACTTTTTTAGGGAAATGTTCATGTGACACCGCATAACATTTTTTAAACTCTTGAATAAGATCCTTGCAGCCTAGCTAAACAGGAGCATGTGAGAGAATACTGATGCCTTTCTAGGTTTCTACTTAATACTTACACCTCCAGCCACAGCCTCTGAAGTGGAAACCCTTGGCTCTCAGAAGCAATCAACAGGTATCGACCATGTCACTTTAGGGCACCTGCTCTTCAGTTGGGTTCAGGAATAGGTAAGCCTTTTCCCCAGAGCCACAATGAAGTAAAAAAGGGCTTCTGAATATGAGTTCATAAATTCAGCTTCAGTGCAACAAATGGAAACACTTTACGTGTATCCAACAGCCCTGGTGGCTCCACAGTGGATGCCCAACTTTGCCAAGGTACTGTTTGACACCATCGATCCTTCTGTGTGCCAAGAGCTGCCCCAGGAGTTTGCATATGATTTACAGTGACAAACCTTGCAGAGAATTCACTATGTCAGCTGCTGGCTAAGCATCTTGCAAAGGCAGAACAAACTAGTGCCAAAACAAAACAAAAACTGCTGTCAAATGGGCTTCTTGCTTGGGTAGAAGAGAGAATGTTTCAAACACCTTGAAAGACACCAGGTCAATGATGCCACCGTTGGCCATTGGTATTTTAAACATGATTTTTCAGTCTATTTTGTGGGCACAGACTTTGCAGTGATTGCGTTGAGCTGTACCCGAGTCATGTGGAGGCAAATCACAGTCACTGAAAATTGCCTTGGCCTCAATAAGCAGGATCGTCTCCCAGCAGTCAAAATGATCACAGCTTAGAAAAGGAAAGACGGTCTGCTATTGAGTTGTCTGATTAACTACTATAGATGGACACATGCCATCTCCTAGGCAAAGGAAGATACTTCCTGGCACAGGTGCTGTATGAGGTACATGGACATAGTGATGTCACTTTGGCAATGTCCTAAAATAGTACGTTTATGCTACGGTTGTGACCATCAGGCGAAAAGAGGCATCCATCAGGCACGGAGGAAAGCCCCAGAATGCCTTGGAATGAGACAATGTGGGTAACAAACATGAATAGTTAGGGCCGTACCGAGCTCCAAGGGCCAGTACTCCAGGCAGCGTCTTGGCGACATGCGTGTGTGTTACACTGCTCATGATCCGGAGGTTTCTCGAGAATGTCACAGCTCAAATCTGGGAACCGTTCACCATTGGACCGCTGACAGACCACCAGTCTTGTTCGCATCCCTCCGCCACACAGCTTAGTGCACTGCAAGAAAGACAAGGAATGATCAGTTATTCTGTTGGAATGATCTATGACAAAATTTCCTTCCCCAGTAGAAACTCTTCTTGGTCCAATTTGATTACAGCCGTGGGCAAGGGAAATCTGACAGAGAGGACCAAGTTGAATTACTGTGATAATACACAATGGACCACACTGGATTGAAGACTTCCCCTAAACCTATAATAAGGACTTCTCTGCATTCTGTGTAGAGAGCGCAATTCTGTTCCTTATTTATAAAATGGAGGCTACAGAGTTAATTAACGTGTTTGGGATCCAGCCATTAAAAGCACCAAAAATTAATCTGAGACCAAAACAATGAGACCAAAACTAGAAATAAAGAAAAATTACCCACTGTCCAATAAAGGAGAGATGCCTTAGCCAAATCTATTTTCTGGTAACTTTTAAGAACCTGACACTCATCGCAGACAATTCTCCAACTCCAGTCTCTATAGATTCTGATGACGCTGAACTATTTTTATTCTACTCTAAATCTTAGGCTAACAGAACTACAATTTGCCCTGGGGATGAATAAACAGAGCGAGCACTGGGAATGCTGGCTCATGTCCTGACTCCTGGCAAGATCCAGACTTCTGAGGCAGGAACAAGTTGTATTTCTTGGACAGTGCTGCCCAGCTCACATTTAGGATCATGGACATTCAGTTTCCTTGCTGTGTCAAGGGCAGATCTCACCCACCATTTGGAAGGCTCAGTCTGTGCTGACTAGCATCCTAGCAAAGGCATGTACGCTCTCCTGGCTTAGATCCAGTTACAGAAGCTTAATCATGTGTCCCACAGGACAGAACTGTGCAAGGAATTTTGGGAAAAGCCACAATACCCGAGCCTTGCCCTCTCTCTTCTCCCTTAGCAAAGCCCTCCAGAGCATGACGCAACTGTCATTGGAAGTCAACAAAAATTCCTGTTCTGGCTGCTTGTGGCTACTAGATTACGTGTATGAAATCAAGAAATGTGGCCATGACTCCAGTGCCAAGAGTGTGAACTCACACACCCATCATTTAGTTCTCTCATTCTTCTCTTGGAACTGGGTTTCTTGGGTGTTGTCATCTTTTATTTGGTAAATTTTACAGTCAAGACAGAATAACTCAAGCTTTAAATTTGTGCTTCCCTGTGGACTGATTCAACTGTGGAGGGATACATTCTTGGTTAGCCCCCAAAACCCAGAGCCCTAGTATTAAGTATAATGTAGGCTCAAAACCTCCATTTAATAACAGTGTTATTCATGCTAATAACTTCTGAACAATAATGTAAATTGTTCCTACATTATTAGGATAGCAATGTGTTAAGCAGTTGACAGACATGATCTCAAAATAGTTGTGAATACGATGATTATTCACATTTACAGATTTAGGAGACAAAGATTTGGCAAGGTAGTACTGTGTGTCAAGGAGCCAGGAACAGGAGCAGGACCTGGTTTTGTGTGCCATGAACACTATACTGCCCCTTATTGATCCAAGCAGGTAATCCTGAAAAGGCACTGATTGAAGAATTCCATTATCTGAGAATATACAGCTAATTGCTCACTTCAAAGATTGCAACATGTCCTCCTTGATAGGAATAATAACACCCATTCATTTCATGAGGAACTTCAGCATTAGAAGACATTATTCCATGGGAATAAAAATGTACCCTAAACAACCCCCAATCTAGGAAGCAGTTGTCCAGACTTCCACACACTAATCTAACATCTACTTCCATCACTGTGCAAGCATTCATTTTTAATCATCATTGCTTAGAGAGTAAATGACTTAAACTAGCATTTATAAGTATTCTTTCCTAATTATTCTCCCCTTGCTGTCTGTTATTAGTAATAAGTGAATTTTAAACTAAATTCAGAACAAAGATGAGTCTTTCTCCTTAAAATACAATGTAGCTGGGGACTAGAGGCTCACACCTGCCTATAATCTTAGCTACTCAGGAGGCTGAGATCTGAGGACAGTGATTCAAAGCCAGTCTGGGCAGGAAAGTCTGTGAGACTCTTATCTCCAATTAACCACCAGACTTGGCACTGTGGCTCAAAGTGGTGGAGAGACCGCCTCGAGCTGAAAAAGCTCAGGGACAGCGTCTAGATACTGAGTTTAAGCCCTATGACCAATGGGGAAAAACAAAACAAAAACAACAAAACAATGTGAATAGGGACTCTACTTAATTGACATAATTCCTCTTTGTGCTTATCACAGGACAGACAGACAGACCAACAATTTGCTCTTACCTCTCCCCAGCTGCCATAAATCCACTGAGGACAAGGACCGGATTCGCAGGCCCGTTGCTCATCTGGTTTTATTCTCTCCACGCAGTCATTGGCAGTGTATCCGTTTTCATCCTGACACACCACAACACGCCGCTGGGACCCACCAGCACAGGTACTAGAACACTGAACACAGCAGGAAAAGAGTTAATCCTCCACGCTACATCTTAGCCCCAGAAAACACAGCTGGATGAAAGGTTAGAGAGATGATGGGGGCCATCACAGTGGAAGAAGGCTATCAGGAGAGGCCCGGGCAGTTCCCTGAGGGGAGGCTGGTTAAGGTGTATTTGTATAAACACCTGTGGAGAACAGAGGTCCAGCCTCTCCTTCTCCCAGGCTTCAGGCCCTCAGTAGGTGCTCATTAGATACCCAATGGCTAACAATATCTAGGATCGTGTCTTCCTGTGTCCTCTCTGTATCTCAGGGAGGAACTAGTGTGTTGGAGTTTACTTAGGAATTCTTTCCAACATTTAAAGAGCTTATTTTAAACCAACATTGGACTTCTCTTTCAACACACAGCTCAGATTACATGCTTAATGAATTGCCAGTTGTTGAAATTAAGCTTCCATAAGATCCCACTCAATTACCAATGGAATGCCTTGGGGACATAATTTTCCAGCAGGCAAATGCTCCTTACTTTCCTCTTTACAAATGTGTGGACTCTGCAGGCTAATGGTAGTAAGATACGTTTTGTTTATTGATTTTTCCCCTTCCTCAATGAACTTGGTTGAATTCTATCTTGACAAACCTCTGTTCAGCTGTATTTTGGACTTACCCTCTCTCTCACGGCTGTCCCTGAGTTTGTTTGTATTCTGTTTCCTTTCCCACACATGCTTCTTATAGCCCTCTTGTATCAGCACCTGGAGTGTTTTCTTTTCCACAGTTTCCTTATCTTTTTAACCTAGTGTGTTTGCTAGCATCCTTGAATCTGAACGTTATTAACGTCAGAGTGCCTATCAAGTAAGCATGCAGTCCTCAAAGCAATGCCATCTGCACTACTTATCAAGATACAAATAGCATTGCAAGCATGTTTTGTTTTCAGTTATGATTTCTGGGTTGGGCATCCATTCATTAGTTCATTCATTTTGAGCCAGACTCACTATATAGCTCAGTCTGGCCTTGAACTCTTAATCCTCCTGCTTCTGCTTCCTGAGTGGTAATATTATAGGCGTGTACCACACATGTACCAATTACGTTGTCAAGCCTAGTTGCAAGTTCTAGAAAGCTGATTTGTGCGCTTCCTATTCCACCCTAGCTGAAACCAGGGTTATTTAAAAATACACTCAGGCCTTGCTTCTTGTTGGCCAGCTTCTTCCATATCAAGATGTGAAGCTATTTTGCTGATGTCTCTGGGCCTCAATTAAACTGCTGTGCTGAGAAATTGGAGTTGCCTGGCCTATGCTGGTCGAATGACAAGTGAGTTCAAAATATAACCGACCTAATCTGTATCTACACTCTCATTTTATACTGAGTTTACTTTTGAAATCACAGAGCAGGATAACAGATCTATTAGTTCTTTGTAAGAAAACATTTAGACATGTTTTAATTATACAAATTCTATTTTTGTTTTCCTGAGGGATCTGGGGATTTTCTGGGTCAGTGGTGGGACTTGAACTCTAGGCCTGGGTGCTCTCTCAGTTCTTCAGCTCAAGGCTAGCACTCTACCACTTGAGCCACAGCACCACTTCCAGTTTTCTGATGGTTTATTGAAGATAAAAGTCTCATAGATTTTCCTGCCTGGGCTGGCTTTGAACTGCGATCCTCAGATCTCAGGCTCCTGAACAGCTAGGATTACAGGTATGAGCCCCCAATGGACCTGGCAGAACCAGGAATTCTTACTGTAAGCCTGGATACATTTAAAAAAAAATTCTTTTTTGCTTTCTAAAAAACCTAATATAGTAAAAATACAGGAAACTGTAGTTTGTTTGTTTTTTTTTATCTTTGGGGATCAGAATTGAAAGTTAGGAAGGGCCTTCCATGATATAAATGGATTTGTGATATTTTGGCCGTTGAGTTTTAGCTTCATTATGTCGCTTGTGAGCTTGATTGTGGCCCCATACAAGGGTAAGCTCCCTTAAGGAGGGCTCATTATTAAAACTTGTGTTCTGGACAGTTGTCACATCATGTACTATATAAAGAAATATGCATAAATACTCTCCTGGGAGGTCAGACATGACAACAAAGGGAAGAAAAAAGAACCAAATTGTATAGCTTAAACCTCATTTAAATTATAAACAAACAATAAGGCTTCCAAGTCAGATGCTGGCTTATGCATGTCTGTAATCCCAGCTACTCAGGAGGCTGAGATCTGAGGACTGCAATTTGAAGCCAGCTTGGCAAGAAGGTCTATGTGAGTCTTATCTCTTATCAATCACCAAAAAGCCGGAAGTAGAGCTATGGCTGAAGTAGTAGAGCAGCAAAGTGCTAGCCTGGATCAGAAAGCTCAGGGACAGTGTGCAAGCCCTGAGTTCAAATTCTAGGCCTTACACCATGAGTAAAACAATGGTACTGCCTATGGTTACAAAAAACTAATAACCCAATCGTTCTTAATTGTGGGTTCTTGTCTGAGGGCAGGATCATTCAACCTTAAAAAAAAGCACGTGTCTCAAATATAGATTAAGAAGAACAGTAAATGCACATAACATCAAATAAAAAGAGCATTAAAAAATGCTTATGCTACAATTACAATGCACATGTGTGAATCCTGAATGTTTTCCACTAGAAAAAAACCATGAGATTCCAGAAGTTAGTTCTCCTGATCACCCTTCAATTTCTCAGGCCTCAGAACTTTACTAATGGAGGAAGGGGGGAATCTGAAATCAGGAAGCAAGAGAGAGGATGAGGTGGTGAAGGTTGGTGAAAGTTGGGTCGATACAGCCAGCAGAGTGCACACACTTGCAGACGGTGTTAGGCACCACTAATTAGTGTTCACAGGCTGCACATCTAACTTCCTGAAACAGAGCCCTAGTGAACAACAGACAGCTTCTCTCTGATTTGTTTTAGCCTAAAAATAATTAAGCACAATTAACAGCCCTGGAAGGAAAGTAATAGCATTTTTTTAAAAAAGACTCTTGAATGATTAGCATGCTTTCTCTAATTACAGGATCCACAGTTACCCTCTCTCTCCTGAGTTTTACTGGCTATGTCAGTATTCCACAACATAAAAAATTATTTAATAAAAACATCCACATCCACATTTATTGGTTGCTATTAAATATTCTTCAAGGCCTTTCTAATTTGAAGCTAGTAATAATGATCATAATAAGTACAACTTGCAGCATCAGTTAAGTCCTGGCTCTAACAGAGGGTATGGCACTGTATTTGTAACATCTCATTTAAGTCTTTGAACCAAAGGAAGCAGGAACTAATTTGGTAGATGAGGAGACTGGGGTTCACAGAGGAGAGGGGACCAAAGTAGAAGTCTTTGTATCAGAGAGGGGTATCTTCCCTTAAATCCTGTGCCGATAACATTAGATATTGGCACTCCTCCTTTACGCACAAAGCTTACCAACATAAGTATTTCCCCTCAACCCTGGAAAATAATCTACTAGGACAAATTATACAGCAACTAAGCCATGCCAGAAATTGCCCAGGCCTAGAAAAAAAACACAAAAAACAGCACAAAAGAAAATCACATTCATGAAGAAGTCTCTCTGCCCTTTGCCCTCTAGGTATAGCCTGCTGTTCCTCTGGGTTCAATCCTGAGGGATTTCACATGTACCCCATCAGGTCACTCAGTGTTTCATCCTTCTTCCCCCCCAATGAAGGCAGCTCACAGATGCACTGGGAAGGACCAGCCTTAGGCCTCCTTCCTGGGACTGTAACTAACCCATTACATCCATTCACAGTATCTCAGGCAGGAAAAAGAAAAAACCAAAAACCATTAAACGCTTTAAGGCCATTTGAGATCATTTTCCCCAAATCCCACCCTCAAGTGAAGGCAAGCCAATTCCAGAAAGATTGCAGAGAATACTCACTGCTCCCCAGGGGCCTGTTCTCCACTGGTTCCCACCTAGCACGTGGGTCCGGCTAGGGCTGGCGCTCCTGGGGCGGTAGTCCTCATTTTGGAATGGATGCTGAGCGAGGCTGTCTGGGGTCCATTGCAGGCAGGGGGACATGGAACAGTCCTGGTCCGTCTCAGGGATATAATCCGGGTCGCACTCACTCTGATCAACCACGTGGTCACTGTAGTTGACACATACCACTTGCCGAGTTGCCCTACCTTGCCCACATGTCACCGAACACTACATTGGATATCGAGAAAGGAAAATGCCTCAGTCATTGGGGTAAGTCATTGCGTGTACATTTGAATGCACATTTCTGCAAATGCTGCAACAATGTCCCATGTGCTGAGGCCAAAAGTCACCCTGGACTGTTCTCTTTTCTCCCCACCCAATGTCCACTTCCTTAAGAAATCCACTCAGCTTGCTATTCAAAATATATTCCTCGCTGGGTGCCGGTGGTTCACACCTGTAATCCCAGCTACTAAGAAGACTGAGATCTGAGGATTGCAGTGTGAAGCTAGTCCAGGTAGAAAAGTCTGTGAGATTCTTATCTCCAATGAACCACCAAAAAAGCCAAATGTGGCTTGAGTAGTAGAGTGATAGCCTTGAGTAAAAAAGTTAAGGGAGCATTCAGATCCTGAGTTCAAGCTCCAAAACCATCACTAAAATGTATGTGCACACAACACTTCTGTGAAAGCAAAACACCATTCTCCATGCCATTATTCTGCTGCTTGACTTATTTCTAGTACTTATTGGTATTTGTTGCTTTATACACACACTTACTTTGTGTGTGTATGTGTGTATGCACACTAGTACTGGAGCTTGAATTCAGGGTCTGGCACTCTCCCTTAGCTCTTTTCACTTAATGCTGGTTCTCTACCACCTGAGACAAACCTCCATTTCTGGAATTTTTGGTGGTTAATTGATGATAAGAGTCTAGCTTCCATTTATTTCGTTGACTGGGTCCTCCATTGGAACAAACTCCATGAAGGTGGGGACTTTATGATTCATTACTCGCTGCCCTTTCATATCTAATGAGTGAATAGACAGATGGATCTGATAGATATATGAACTGATGGGTGGATAGGCTCAAGGATAGACAGATGGATGAGTTTGGAAATTCAAAGCGTGGAGTGTGAGATATCTCTCATTTCTTGAGTACCTACTTTTTGCTAAGCATTCAACATATAATCTCAATAATCCACACAACAAGCTAATCAAGACAAAGGTTCATCTATTTGTATAAAAACCCACGATAGAGCTCTTGCTGGGGAACCAAGAATGAGTTGACTTTAAGGAACTACGGAATGCAGTGGGCACCAAAAACACAAAGTCGGAGTATCTAACCTACACTCTTCTCTCCTCTTGCCACTTTTGGAGAGCTACAAACCTTTGTATACTGTGCAGATTTACTAAAGTTGTGGATTTCCAATCAGCCCCAAAGGGCAGATGGCTCAAGCAGAGGGCAAAATGGTCTATCCAGCTTGCTTTTGAAACACATGTATATCTCATACACTTGATTAACATTCCTTGCTCATTTGACCCTCTGACTATACGTAAAGCAGAGTAACTGAAATCACAAACCAAGTTCAACACAGAACTACTATTCCTTCACATTTGGGGTTCCTCCCTAGCTCCTTGTACCTCATTGTTGCCCCAATTCAGCCCAATCCCACAGAATTCACTTGCTTACAGAGCTCCAGTCCAAAGCTTTCCACTGCCCACAGGGTGTCACGGCACATTCCTCCTTAGCCACTGGCCTGGGCAGCATGGCACACGCGTTCTCATCAGCCACAGAGCCATCCTCATCCCGACAACTGACGTATCTCATCCGGGTCCCTTTCCCACAGGTAGCTGAGCACTGGAGGTTGGAGTCAAGCAATGCAGACAGCTCACTTGAAATGGACAGCACCTACTTCCTCAGTCATGCCAGGGACCCCCTGCCGCCCTCCTCCCCCTCACTTCTCCCACCCCACTTCTTACTGGAGTCCAAGATCCAAATCGCCACTGGGTTCTTGGAACACCATGTGAGCTTCTCCTTGCTTCTGGGGCCAGTGGGAGAGGATGACAAGATGGTAATTCACAGTCCTAGAAAGGGGGAAAAGGCTCATTACTTTCAGGTCTACAACACATTTCAATGGTCATGGTGTATAGGAATGTGTGTGTGTGTGTGTGTGTGTGTGTGTATATAAACATATACAGATATATATACATATATATATATAGACACATCATGCTAAGAGCTGTATGACCTCAGATTTCATTTCTACAAGTCATACAATTTCCCTCTACCCCCAACTGTGAAACAGTACATGATCTAAGAAACTTTAACACTGCCCAGGGGCTACTTAATGATTTGTGTGTGTGTGTATGTGTGTGTGTGTGTGTGTGTGTGTGTTAGCACTAGGGCATGAACTCAGGACCTGTGTGCTGCCCCTTAGCTTTATCACTCAAGTGCTCTACCACTTGAGCCATAGCTTCACTTCTGGCTTTTTTTCTCCTGGTGGTTAATTAGAGATAAGAATCTCACAGACTTTCCTGCCTAAGCTGGCTTGGAACCATGATCCTCAGATCTTAGCCTTCTGGGCAGCTAGGACAACAAGTGTGAGTTGACAACACTTGGCTGCTTAATGATTTTATTTACATGTTAATTATAAAGAAACAAAAACACTGTAATGCAACCCATATGTCTAGAAAAGTAACATTTAAACAAATTACCTGTTAATGTTTAAAAATTCTCAAGGTTAAATTCTGTTCTCACATTAAAGTTTTTCCTAATCAGCCTTCATCAATCATGAACTTGTTTTCCCAGTTTACCTAATGATAACACCCAAGGCCCTGAAGGTCATGTCTAGATAGAAAAGGTGTATTCAACAGGCCAATGCCTGGAATTTCCTCCACTACCCTTCAATCACAGAGACAGAAGTCCTTATAAAGAATCCAGCCATCTGTGTGCAGATAATATTCTCAGACTTACAGAAGGAAAAAAAGAAAAACAAAGTACACACCTGCTCATAATTATTCTCAGACTCAGTGCTTGCCAAGGATTACGTGACTTAATTCCTATCTACCAAAAGCCTCAGAGCTGGCAGGCACAAGTCTCAGGCTGAACATGACTGGTGCTCCCTTGCCTTGAAACCTTACACGTAGAACGTTGACAGTCTGTGACTTGGCTCCAGATCTTCCAATCCCTTTGCCTGTGGTCCAAGGAAATTTCACCACAGGAGACTTGGCAGTAAAGAAATTATTTGTCGGGTGCGCATAGCTTGTGTCTGTAATCCTGTACTCAGGAAGCTGAGGTCTCACAACTGCAGTTCAAAGCCAGCCCCGGCAGAAAAGTTTGTGAGACTTTTATCTCCAATTAAACCGGCCAAAAGTCAAAAGTGGAGCTGTGGCTCAAATGACAGAATGCTATCCTTGAGCAAAAATTTCAGGGACAGCACCCCAGGCCTTGAGTTTCAAGCCCCACAACCAGCACAAAAAAACAATAACAACAAGAAGGAATTATCTACATGCAGCAATTGGGGGAGCCCTATAGTCAAATGGGTATCACAGAATATCAGACAGAAATTATGTTTGGAACTTCAAGGGGATCAACAAGTCTTTACTTGATGCTTATTTTAACATGGTGTGGCTAACATTTCCCAGTCATTTATCACCCGGCCATTTGGACACTTCTATGAAAAAAAATGACAGGTCTCCATGCGCTGTTTTATAAATTAATCGACGATAATGTCATGAACAACAGGGCCACATACATTCACTTTGTAGAAGCTCTTTATCCATTGAGAACACATGCTGAAATGAAGCAAGAGAGCCAGGCTCAGCCCAAGGCTGTCCACCAGCTGCACGGGCCTCACTTTGAGCAGCAGTTGTGCACCCAGTCTGGGTTCAAATCCTGCCTTCACCAACTAGCAATGGTAAGTCTTCTCTTGACATAAGTGATACAAAATCAGGTACAAGCCATAAAAGTATGCAAGTAAAAGAAAAAGATGGTGTATGTATATGTGTGTCAGGTACACACATATCTGTTTGTAGATATTTGCACATATATAAAAATTATATACCTATGGAGGTATGTTAGTATACATTTTGCTAAGCTAAAGCAATAAAACATACAATTATGTTAATGTCCATATAGCAACTGATTTTTATAAAATACTTCTGTTGATTTTTGCTGCTTTTGAACCTATTGCCAAACTGTGATTTTTAATTGTCAAATAAATGTAGTTCGGATGTAAACACTGCTTGATATCTTGTTTATGCTGAAGAGAAGGGTGAACGGGAAATGAGAAGGTGTTTGTCAGAATCTGACTCACTCAGATACTTTTAAATACTAGAAAAATATTTCCTTCCTTTTGGGGTGCTATTCAGAATGTCAGAGCTACAGATGGAAGATTCTTTCAAATTTAATTGGCATTGTTAACGTTCTTTCCATTCAAGTCTAAGCAACTAAGATAATGAGTGAATGATAGCACCCATAAAATTCTAGGTGTGAATACTATCAAAGCTAATTTCAAGCTATTAACTTCATGTCAATCAACCTTGGAAAGAGAAGGTCTGTGGTACACCATTATATAATATATCCATCATATGTAAATAACCACAGGAGTAATAGTAAAGATAATTTGAAAGTCATCTGTTCTAAACATTTAATGTCATCTGCTTGATTACAGATTTATATTTTCAATTTTTAATAATGGCTACATTTAAACTCCAGCTCATAAAGTGCTTGTAGTTTTTAGTTGGCTGATATGTGCTAATCTAAGCTAGTTTAGCTACTCTTTCTGAACTTAGGACATAGTTAATGAAGTCTATGAAGAAATCACTGGGAAAAAAAAGGAGTTTAAGTAAATGAGACCAACATTTGCCATCCAATAAGAACTGATATCAAACCTCTACTGAAAAATTGCAGAACAGGGCTGGGAAGGTGGCTCAGTGGTAGAGCGCTTGCCTTGCATGCCTGAGGCCCTGGGTTCGATTCCTCAGCACCACATAAGCAAAAAGA